GAAGGGTCCCCTTGCCCCTCTTTCCGGCAACAAGGGCAGACACCAAGGCAACCCGTGTCCCTCCTCGCCTGGCCCAATTCTCTATCAGCTTTGGCTTCTACTTATGAATGTGATAACAAAAACATTTCCTTGCATGATGACAAATTATTACTTTGACTACAGAAGGGATGTTCCTTCAGAGTTTTAGCAATGAGAGGAAATATAAAATTATTTTAACATGTCCATTAAAGATGTGTAAGTGTCCAAAAGAAAAGTCTTCGGTAGGCCTGTCCCCACCTTTGAGAGTTAGAACCAGTTTGTGGCTTCTTCACCAAGTGTGTGGCAATGGTGTCCCCAAATAGCTTGGGGTGATGAAAGAAATCAGCGTGGAGAGACACCTCCCTATTTGTCTTCTCAGCCTTGGGAGTGGGCCCCAGTAGGGCTTTGCCCCAACCCTGGCCTCTCTCTGCCCAGGGCTATGAGGTACTCAGAGTTGTTACATTCTGAGTGTGTGAAAAGCGCAAAGGGAATATGAGTCAGAGAAATAATTCCTAGGGCCAACCTCACCCTAGAATTGTTTCATTCGAATGGGGAGCTAGAGATGGGGGAACAAGCCCTTTGCCAAAGTCTCCACACTGTTCCGACTTGCCTTTGACTTCAGGCCTCAGCAAACACTGACACAGGGCTGACAAACTGAGAAGGGCTTGATTCACAGAGCACTCCTCCGTCCCAAGGACAGCAAACACTACGTAGAGGTTCTAAAGCGCTTACACACACTGTGAGCTGACCCTGAGCCTCTCACTGCCTAGGACCCTGGAGGAAATTTCCAATGGGCAACGTGCCCTATTAAGAGGCAGGACAGAGAAAAAGCTTCTTCTGTACAGATGCCATTAGGAAAGTCGGATGCAGGGCCAAGTCGGGTGCTGTGTTCTTCAAGGCAGGAATCTTGAGGTCACTGGGGGAATTTCATAATAGCTCCTGCTCGCCGTCAACCAGCTTCAGGGGGCTCCCATCACTAGTGGGGTTATATCGTTTGATGACACGAGCATGGAGAGTCCCTCTGATTTTGATAGCCTGGCCCTGATGGCACAAACATCTGGAGTTTTTATGACTGTTTCTCAGACAGTCTGGCTAAACGAACACAGCCCTCTCCCACTTCCCTGGAACACCACGGTGGGCCACATGTTTTCCTCTCGGTGGCGACTCCAGACTTTCTACAGAAGAGGGTCATAGGGGCACCAACTTTGGAAGCGGAGGCTGGGGAATCTGTCCTAAACCTGGGCTTTCATGAACCACGTGATCAGCTGGCTGGAAGTGATCACCAGAAAGGAAACAAACATAAAAGCACAATTACAGAAAAAAATATATACTTTGTTTACACCAGTGAGATACTCTTTGGTTTATGCGAACATAAAATCTGGAATTTATTTTTTCTTTCTTAATTTTTTTTTATTTTTAATTTTTTTTTAAATTATTTATTTATGATAGTCACACAGAGAGAGAGAGAGGCAGAGACACCGGCAGAGGGAGAAGCAGGCTCCACGCACTGGGAGCCCGACGTGGGACTCGATCCTGGGTCTCCAGGATCGCGCCCTGGGCCAAAGGCAGGTGCCAAACTGCTGCGCCACCCAGTGATCCCTAATTTTTCTTTCTTATATTTAGCCAATTATTCCAGTTGTATAGCATTTGTTTCTGCTTAGTTTCTTTCTTCTAGATTATTCCGTGACCTTTCTGGCCTGGTAATTTAAAATACATACCTTGTGATTATTTATTTAGCTGAAATTTTATTTATTTATTTGCTGACCTAACTTGTTGGGACTTTGGACAGGGTTGATGCAGATGGGTGTGGGGTAGGTAATACTGGCCCTGCCCATATTCCTTGGCTCCTTGGGTCCCTAGAAGGAATGCTGTTGCTTTGGAATTAGACTGACTATATACCTGTAGTAAAACACAAAGATCAGATGGAATCCAAACATGGAGACTTTCACCAACAAAGAGAGCAAGTCACTACTCCTCTCTGAGTTTCAAGATCCTATAAAAGGAAGAGGTTGGCCCAGATGACTCAGGTCTCTTGTTGCTGGTTCTATCTAGCTATCCACCATCCATCCTCAGCAGATTGGGTTACGGGGCCTATTTTCATCTCTCCCATCTATTTACTATAATCCCAGCATGATTTCTTTCATGCTTCCCTGATCTCACCTTTCCCAGTTGCAAAATAGGGACTCGTATTAGCCTCTCTTCTACTCACAAGCATCTCAAGGAATCTCAGCCTGTCTGACAAGAAAGGTGATTTGGCTCATCCCTTCCCGAAGAAACTCCAGAGGTCAACCAAATCTAGGGAGAAAGACCTACACAAACACAGCCAGATACTTCCTCTCTTGGAACGAGGAATACAAAGGAGAGGAGAATAGCTCAAATATGGGACGACCTAAGACAGCCTGGACCACAACACTGGCACCAGGGCTCCAATCCCTGTCCACGGGACTTGGTCACTCTCACATTTACAGAGGGTTAGAGCAGGAAGGCCTGCCGTGATCATCTCACAGCCACAATTCTGAAGGATGATATGAGCTGTGATCAACCTTTATTAAGCCCGAGAACATCTTTTTCATTCAACAGTTAATCCAAAGAGAACCTGTAATGTGCACAAATTCAGAGCCAAATCGGATGAAATAAACTCTTCCTTCTAAGAGTTTATGGTCTAAATTAAGCAGCACAGACTCACAATGGGGAAACAAAGCCTTCAGGAGCAACGAGTCCAATACTGACACCAATGACATCCTGGTCCCAGGCCAGGGGGTCTGATGTACTCAGGATGGGGTAAGAGCTTTGAGTTTTAGATACGGGGAAGTGCTTTCTGCAGGAAAAACCTCTATGTCCTGGCAGTCAGGACTTTCCAGTTAGGAGGTTTCCATACTGGAGAGAATTCCAGGAAGTCAAGGGGTCGATGTGACATGACCCTGGGAGGACAAGAGATGGTGCGAGGAAGATGTTGAAGGCAGAGTGAGCCAGCTCATCTAAGGAGGACCAACATTTTCTAGAGCTTTAAAGTACATGATCACCTGAATTAGAAGCTTTTAAGTTGACTTGTTTTCTCTCATTATTCAGTTGTCTCTGGAAATCTCACCTCCTGCCCGACCCCTTCCCAGGATGTGTCCAACCCGACCCAGTATCTTCACCTTCTACCTATGGTGTTAGAACTCAAATGGATGTTTGCTCTCTCCATCTATGTTCACACTGGCCTGTGGCACATATTTTCATGGAGTAGTAAATTATGCCACTGTGTTCTCTCAGCAGGCAGACAATACACACCACATAGCCGAAGCATGTCAGAGTGGGAAGAAGGGCTCACTACTGTAGCCCACTCATTTCACAGATGAGAACCTGGAAGTTACTGGAGACTCTGTAAAACTTGCCTCGTCAGTGACTTTGGGGAATGCGAAGCGCAGTGCTGTCATTCTGTGGCTTGGGTTTGGGACCTGCCTTCCTGCTGCGCTCCGTCTTGGCCTCCACCATCCCTGTCCCTGGCACCCCCACCCCCCACCCTGTGGGCGCCCAGACCCTTCCTTTTTGGCTCCAGCATGAAGGCAGCAGAGTAGGGGGAAAGACTGGACTCCAGCAGAGAAAGTGGGGGGTAGGGGCGAGGGAGAGAGAAAGAAGAAGAAAAGAAAGGCTACAGACCAATGATAATCGCCCTGTGCACACAGAGTGGGAGTGATCACCTTGATTACACCACTTCTACAGACAATTCATGATTCAGAAGTGCTTCGACCAAGGCAGCCACCTTGGGAGACTACCATGAATTTGGATCTCTGTGTTGCAGCATGCTTAGGTAGCAAGGAAGAAGCTCTTTAACTCAAACATATTCTAACTACTTAGTCTCTTAGAGCTCCCCCCCCCCCTTCTCTTAATGGAAAGTACATTTCTCCCCTAGAGGCTTCTATTCAACTGTAGCTGCAAAAGAATGAGTTCTGGACTCAGGACCAACCCAATAATGCCTATTAACAAGTCTAGCTATAATTCCAGGCCAGGTAAGGAGAGTTCTTGACACTGTGAAATGATAGGATAGGAGGGAAAGTGGGAAATTTCAGTGCAAGGTTAGGTTGTGTGTCCTAAAAGCAAAGTTTTTAAAGAAAGCATGCCTAGCATAAGACTGGGTGTGAGGGAGCAGCTAGTGCTTACGGGGCGGCAGCTCAGAAAACAAAACACAGAATTCAAATTTGAAATGCACTAACATTTGTGCACTAGCAACTCAAAGTTCTATTTAAAGATTTTTTAAAAAAAGATTGTATTTATTCATCCATGAGAGACACACAGAGAGAGAGAGGCAGAGACACAGGCAGAGGGAGAAGCAGGCTCCATGTGGGGAGCCCGAAGTGGGACTCGATCCCAGGACCCCGGGGTCACGACCCGAGCCAAAGGCAGATGACACTCAACTGCTGAGCCACCCGGGCGCCCCTCTATTTAAAGATTCTTACGACAATGTAAGATTTCCTAGAAAAATGCAATTTCACTTTCTAGTCATTGTGGCAAATATAACAGAAATCATTAAAAAGATATTAAAGGTTTAACGTTATTATGCTACAGCGATTGGCTTCTACATTGCCCTGGTTGGTGTCTATGCATTTCGTGAAGTGTTGTACTGACTCGTGTACAGATACATAATTTGTATTTAGTTCGTTGTTGCACTTGTGATTATTTGCTATAAGAAGTTGGTCATTTGGTGGTTGGCAATGCATGTGGCTTAGTTTCTACTGGAAAATCTGATTCAGCTTACATCATTTTGACTTGTAGCACCTTTGCCAGGAATGAATTCTAGGAGTGCAAGACAGCCCTGTTTTTTCCCCAGGTCTGTAGAGGCCTGTTGGTTTTAATGGGTTATGTGCAGGACACAAGGATGTGACTCATCTATCCACTTAACAGTCATAGAAAAGTACACAAACAACTCAGCCTCAGCCATAATACTCATTGTATGGACCATAGTGAATGTGCACTCCCACTGAGTTTTTGTGATTTTACAGGAACTGGGGCATGGGTGCCCCGTGAACAAACAAAATATCCATTAGGTTCAATATCATCGATGTCGTTAACGTGACTGTAGTGAACTGTTTCCAGAGGACGAGTGTGCTGAACCATGTGTTGTGACCTTGAACATCACTGTCACCCCATTCTGATGTCTTCCTGCCTTGGAGAAGAGAAGCTGGTAGCTCCATTTCCCAGAATCTTCTCTACATGGTTCCAAGAGAGATCTTCCAGGGAGAGGCTCTTAGGTGAGGAAGGGGGAAGACTGAGATCTTTATTCCTCAGAGGCAGATGTGAACAGATGCACAGAGAAATGTAAACAGCTTTCAGATGGACTTTTTTGAGAATGGTCTATACTGTGCTACCGGCTTAAATAGTTGGTGGGAGCCCCTAATAGACTCACAGTTTTTGGAGTTTCCCAGGTGACATTACCAATAGCTCCTTGATCTTTGCTTCCTCGATGGTTGTGGAAATTTTTTTTTATCTTAAAACTCATAATACTCATAATACACAGAGTAGCTTCCATTTTCCTGATAAACTGCAGACCGCTATAGTTAAGTAATTATTAAGTAATTTAATACACGATGAGGAAAACAGGATGGAGAGAAGTATACTGTGTTATGGGAATGCCTGTGAAGGGATGAAAAAAATGAAATGAAAAAAAAATGAAAGAAAATCTCAAAATTGGAGGGCAGGAGAAGAGAGACTCCCTGAGTGGTCTCCAAGCTGAGGCTGGATGGATAAAAGGGAGTTAGGTGGTCAAAGTGCATGGAGTGGAGGAGATGGGGGTCATGTTCAACCTGTGCAAAGACCCAGAGGCCAGAGGGAGTTCAGGGAGGGTTTTGATAGGTGCCCCATTGTGGGGGCAGGCGGGAGGCGGGTGGGAAGCCCTATGAGCAATGGGGAGATAATGCAGACTTTCAAATTGTCAAGTGACATTATCAGGTTTATTTATTTATTTATTTATTAAATATTTATTTATTTATTTATTTATTTATTTATTTATTTATCCATGAGAGACAGAGACAGACAGAGAGAGAGGCAGAGACACAGGCAGCAGGAGAAGCAGGCTCCATACAGGGAGCCCGATGTGGGACTCAATCCCAGGTCCCCAGGATCACACCCTGGGCCGAAGGGAGGCTCTAAACCGCTGAGCCACCCAGGCATCCCCAGGATCAGGCTTAGTATTCCAAGCAATCACTCTGGCTACAGGATCCAGAATGGATTTCAAGAGAGCAAGACTGAAGGCGGGGACACCAAACTAGGAGGCCATGCAGCTTTCCCTAGCCTGGACCTGGCCACGGGCAGTGGAGCTGGAGAGAAGGTCACAGATGCAAGAAATGTTTAGTACATGACCGGCGGAGGGCTTAGGGGATGGAAGAAGTTGAGGATGATTCATTTCACACATAGGGAGACTGAAGCTCAGAGGGGTCACGCAGCTTACCTAAGGTCACACAGCTTGGAAGCAGAGGAGTCAAGATCCAAGCCTCAATGTGTCTAGCTCTGGAGCTTTGGCTGTTAGCTCTAGGCTCCATAGCATACAAATCAGAACACAGTCACAGCCGTTCAACTGAAAAAAAAAATTAGCACGAGGTACTTGTGGCACACACAATTACTGTTCTATATTCATATGCCAGTGGTTCCACTGGGCTCTCTTCATCTCTTCTTTGATACTGTATTATTTCCTAGGTGCTTTAATGTATTTTCATGTTTTTTCCTCTACATTTGTGTAAACGTTGTTGTAATTAAAGGAAAAGGAAGGGTTAAATAGGATTTCTTCCCCCTCCCTACAATTTTAGTTTCTGTTTAAAGTAAAACCGAAAGGCACTTCTGTTTTACTTTTGGAAGTATATAAATCTGCAACTCTGAAAGTTCTAGGGGCTAAAAGCCATGACCAGCTGTCGTATTTTGTTTGCCAAAATGACTAAGATGATGCATAAGGTTGGGAAAGCTGTAAAATAATTATCGCATATTGCTCCCAAACACCCACCTCTTCTATTATATTTTAGGTGTTCTAAACGAGTCCGAAACAGTCGGAAACAAATACTGACTTGCCCACGATTCTCCCTTCTGTTCACGGCTGTCTCAAGTCTCCATCTCCAGAACAAACCTCTCTGCTGAGTTCCAGACACCAGAGGACATCCCCAGACTAATGACTCAGGCTCCTTAGACTTTCTACACTCCAACAATCTCGATTCCCCATTGTGCTTTTCTTTCTCAAATCCGCATCAACCAAGTTGACAAAACCAGACACTGGGAAGTTATTCTAGATTCCTTTCTCCCCGATTCCTCACATCGGCTCAACCACTAAAGCCTGATGATTCCAACTCTTCGGTATCTTTCCTCTCCACTTCCAAGACGGCTGCCTTAGCACAGGCCAGCGTTTCCAAATGTCTGGCATGATGATTTTTGTGGTGCAGACACAAGAAATCTGAATTTCTGAAATCATGTTAGTCTATAGTTTTCATACCCCCTTAAGTATTTTTAAATAATAAAGATTGGCCACCATAATAAACAATGTGTAGTTTTTCTGTCATAGGGTTAGAATAAGCATTTGAAAGGTTTTCTGTAAAGAAGAAAAAGATATAATAATAAATGCTTGGTTATTACTATTATGAGCCAAAATATTGCGATCAAATTACATAATTCAATAACATGAAAAACAACCTCTGCTTAATGTAGACACTTGATGATGACTAGAAGATAAAATAATGAGAAGATAAAATTAGAAGGGAATATTAACCCCAAAGAAATGCTGAGTAATGATTTTATGTTTTTTTAAAGTTATTTAAATTCCAGCTACTTAACACACAGTGTAATACTAGTTGCAGGTGTACAATATAATGATTCATCACTTCCATACAACACCCAATGCTCATCACAAGTGCCGTCTTCACTCCCCATCACCTACTTCGCCCATCCTCCTACCATCTCCCACCTCCCCTCTGGTGACCATCAGTTTGTTTTCTACAGTTAAAAGTCAGTTTTATGGTTTGCCTCTCTCTTTTTTTTTTTTCCACCTATGTTCACCTGTTTTGTTTCTTAAATTCCACATAGGAATGAAATCATATGGTATCTGTCTCTCTCTGATTTATTTCACTTAGCATAATACTCTTTAGCTCCATCCATGTCATTGCAAATGGCAAGATTCCATTCTTTTTGTTGGCCAAGTAATATTCCATTGTATGTAGATACATCACCTCTTTTATGAAGATCCATTCATCAATCAATGGACATTTGGACTCTTTCTATAGTTTGGCTATTGCTGATAACGCTGCTATAAACATTGGGGTGCATCTATCCCTTCGAATCAGTATGCTTTTATGCTTTGGGTAAATACCCAGTAGTGCAATTGCTGCGTCATAGGGTAGTTCTATTTTAACTTTTTGTGGAACCTCCATACTGACTTCCAGAGTGGCTGTACCAGTTTGCATTCCCACCAACAATGTAAGACGGTTCCCCTTTCTCCACAACTATTGTTTCCTATGTTGTTAATTTTAGCTATGAGTAATAATTTTAAATCATTGATTTTAGAATCATTTTAAAAATGGAAAGATAGGGATCCCTGGGTGGCGCAGCGGTTTGGCCTGCCTTTGGCCCAGGGCGCGATCCTGGAGACCTGGGATGGAATCCCACGTCGGGCTCCCAGTGCATGGAGCCTGCTTCTCCCTCTGCCTATGTCTCTACCTCTCTCTCTCTCCCCCTCTCTCTCTCTGTGTGACTATCGTAAATAAATAAAAAAAAAATTTAAAAAAGAAAAAGGAAAGATAGAATTGCAAATATTTAATATATTAAAATTATTCTTAAAATAAAATTATAAATCACACAAGCATGAATCTCCTTGATCAGTAATCTAACTTTGTTTTAGGACAAAGATTCCAGGTGTCAAAAAATGTCTTTTATCTTGTGTTGAGGTTAGTTGAATTGGTTGGTTGAAGACGTGTTAAAAACATGTTCGGATTGGGTGTTAGTGAACATAACATGTTGCTTCTAATAAGCTCATTTTCTCTTTTTAACAATGAAAATATTTTGTCTGCTTGGCTTGGTTTTTGTTTTGCCATTTAAATAGATATTGCTTTTCTAAATTCAAATTTTAGATTAGCTTCTTTCTGGTCTCTTATTTTAGAGCATTCTATAACATTAGTCTGTTTTTCTCTGTGTATTTCTTTTGTCAAAATACTTGCAAAGACCTAAAGCTTCTGATGAATATTTACACATGAGAAATGCTAATAAGAGCTTGGTAATATTCAAACAACACAGCATTTAGATCTTCTAACAAGCTCAACAGCGCCCCGTGGGATTGCATGCCCAAATTGCCCATTCGGGACTTATTTTGCTTCCAAAAACTTGTTAATTTCTTAGCACACCACTGAGAATTTGTATGAAGTATACTATGTGTCTAAACTTATTAATACTTATTTTATTTGCAAGAATGACATCATTATTAGCAGACAGAGCCACAGAAACACACCTATAGCATGTCAACAACCATAAGCAAGACCAACTGATTATACTGTGACTGCTTCCCTATTACATGCTTCTGCTCCAGTTTCCAGAATGTTAGCTTCAATATTTGACTCTGTGGCTCCATGGTTCCTGCTCTTGTTTTTGACTTGATGTTGAATGGATTTCTTTGAGCCATTAATGCCTCTAATGTTAATAGTTAAGCTCTAATTCTCACAGGCAAATTATACTTTCTCTCATTTTTCTGATTATTATTATTGTTAGGATTTAGATAAACATAAAATTCTTCAAGAAATGTCAGGAAGGAATTCCTACATGAAAACAGTAGTATAGATTCCCATAATCTCGTAGTCAAAGAATCACTCTATTGGTCTCTGGCCACATGCCATGTATCCTTCAATCTATCCTCTCCACTGCTTATTCTGTAAAATGGAATGTACTTACCACATTGTATTATAATTTTTAAAGATGCTTGTAGTTCCCACTTGATGGCAAATTTCCTAAAAGCAGTGACTAAGTCTTATTTAGTTCTTTATCTCTAATGTCTAGCAGTGAATTAACATGTTTTAGATTCTCAATCAATTCTTGATGAACTTAGATGAGTCAAATTAAATTTATTTGAAATAGAAAGACAGTGAGGACTTCTGATTCTGGAAACCTGTGGGCTGAGACAACAAGACACCTCCCCACTACAGATTTCTAGAAATGGTAGATAACATATAACTAAAAACTCTAAAATAGAGCTGAGCTCCAGAGGAAAAACAAGAAACATTTTAGGTGCCACAAACAAAAAGAGACCGGCAAACAGAAAATCCAATGGGATGTGAAAGTCAGTCATATGAGCTAGAAGCTGACATTGCAATGGCAGGGGTTGGGATCGGGTAGAGGATGAGGGCTAGGTAGAGAATGGTAAGGGAATCCAAAAGATTGGTATAGTTCAGACCAGGAATAAAGCTTAGGTTTTTATAATCATACAATGAAAGAAGGCCATCTATGAAGGTGACAAGAACTTATAACTCTCAAGAATGCTGAGTGGAAGGAACATGCCTTTTATGAGAAATTAAAGGCCAAGCCTCCACCCTGCACAGGACTGGCATCTAAGTGTTATTGAATCATGTGGTTCAGGAATTCCAAGCCTGAGAAATTAACATAAAATTTGGAGCTTGGCCAATAATAGCTCTAACCCATTTGGCAAAGCAAATGCAGGACCACTCTGGAGGGAATACCTCCATAACTCAGGTCATACAGACTTTGCATAGAAAGTACAACCCCACTAAAAATGAACTCACAATTAAAAATGGTGAAACATGCAAGAAAGTCATTCATCATGAATAAGAGCCAGGAAACAAATTTTTAAAAAAAGTCACCTAAGAACTGCTTTCTATTTTTAAAAAATCAAATATTTAGAATTAAAAGGAAGAATAGAAACTACAAAAAACATTATTTTTAAAAGAAAGGTAAAAAATTGAATTTCTGTAAATGAAAATAAGTTACTGAAATGAAAAACTCAAATGGACTATTTAAGCAACAGATTAAATAGTCAGAGAATTAGTGAGCCAGAATATAGAGCTGAGAAAATGATCCAGCATATCTACAAAGGAACAATTCAACTGAAATCAATTTATTAGCAGTAATAGAAATGAAAAGACAATGGACTAAAGGGATGAATAAAAATAATTGTCCATCTATGTGCTAGATATTTTCAGTTTGCCTCTCTGGACTACTTCCACCTTTCTGCTCATTGCTTCTTGTCCCAGGAGGCTGACATTTATTACTTAAGTCACTTGCTTTTTGGCTTCAGGTTGGGTTCAGTCACTGTAAGGGTAGAGAGTGGTAAGATAGCTCAAAAGAGAGGACAGAGTATTTATTTCCCAAACCAGTACTGCCCTTAGATCCAGACAAATAGGACCCCTGCTCTAGGCCCTGCACTATAAGGTGTGTGGGGGCTGGGGGATGGAGTAGAGACATGTTCTGGAATGCCTTCCTCAAAATTATCTAGGCCCCTGTCTGGTACGTGGGACAGCTAGGACCAGCAGTACTGAACAAGTAGGACACCATAGCCTGCACATGGTTCTGCATGATTTTGGGTTAATTGAATCATAATTTTCTAACTCTTCCTTCAGGGGCTGGAACTGGCTGGAACTCTTCCTTCCGTGGTTGGTAGTGCTGTCCAGGCAAGGTGCTCCAGGCCATATTGGGTCCTACAAGGGCCCTTAAAGGTAAGTGTCTTACTCAAAATTTTCCAAGTCCTCTTCCAGTGCCTGGGACCAGCTGGAATCAAGGGTGCAATCTGAGCAGGAGCTCTGAGCTTGGGCTGGGACCTGCGTGGGCCCCAGGTCCTATTTATTACCTTTGAGGCATATTTTGACCCTGTAACCCACTTAGAATTGGGCCAAAAGAACAGAATGGTGCTGATATGCTGATTTGGGGTGACTCACATCAGGGAGATGAGTTCAGAACTCCAGGCTACTGGACTGTTGACCTTTGGGCTTATGCCTTTTATGTAGACTCATTATACTACTCTTGCCTAAATGTGTTTTGTCAGTGGTACTGACTCTAATCAGTAGTACCCAAAGGCAGTGGTGACAACAGCGGGTGTCCTTTATCCTGTGTACGCTTCACTGCTGACGCACTGGGTGGCCACCACCCTCTTCACAGGCTCTGTGCCATGTGCCAGGCAATCCTCTGGGAGTGGCCATGCTTGTATCCTCTGAAGGCTTTCAAGACTGCTACCCATGTCTTAATCCACACTCTCTGTTGCTCCTGACTGATGTGGTATCAATTTGCTTTCCCAGGTCAGCCTTGAATGGAATGTTTAACATGACCAGAAAACAAACTATCATTCTCATTCTGCATACTCTGGATCAATTTGACCAACAGTCATTGTGAGTAAAACACAATAACCACTTTTGAGAGAGTCCCTGGAAGCCAGTGTGCATGAGCAGCACGATGGATGATGCAACATCATGAGTAATGATGTCAGGAGCACGAGATAAATGGTTCTAGAAAATGGCAGACGCAAAGAGACATATTTGT